AAATATATTACAATTATTTTCTATTTAAAATATATTACTAAATATTTAATGCTTAAAACAGTACATATGTGTTAAAACAATCTGTAATATAAAGAGAGTGTATTAGATTATTAAAATAATTGTGAAATAATTGATAGAAATGTCTATTGTTGTTAAAAAGCTCGGAATATATGTTAGGAGCACCGTCTTCTTCGAAGTCTTCTGTTAGACTGAGTCAAAGTCCTCTAGAAAATTACTTTTATTGAAAGTTGTTTATATGACTTTCCGAACGTTGCGCATGTGTATAAAGGAAATAATTCATCTAATCAATAAAATTTAAGAATATAACGATCTGATTTTAGTATTTTTTCATTTCTAATAAACAAATGTATATTTGTTTTAACGTTCCTGTGCAGTGGTGACTTCAGTGGGGGAAATTTTAGTCGAAAAGAATATCACATCGAAATCAATTAATATTTAAAGTATGCTAATAAGTATGTAATGCTTATACTAGTACATATATGTTTAAACAATCTGAAATATAAAAAGAGTGCATTAGAATATTAAAATAATTGTTAATTAATCGATAGAAATGTCTATTGTTGTTTAAAAGCTCGGATTATATGATCTATGTACCGTCCCCTTCGAAATACACCGTTGAAATGAGACGTTGTCCTCTATGAAATTACTTTTATTAAAAGTTGTTTATATGAGACTTTTTGAACGTTACGCATGTGTATAAAGGGAATAATGCAGCTAATAAATAAAATCTAAGATTAAAACGTTCTTATTTTAGCATTTTTATTATTTTTATGTAATTATTAGGTTGTCCCATAAGTTTTTTCTGCGCAACGCTATGTATTTGGTTGTCCCATAAGTTCTTTCCGCGTCACGCTATGTATGACTTTGAGCCGGCCATGTTTGAGGACTATAATAGAATTATTTACACACATGGAATACATGAAATTATTTATTTTGGAAATTCACATTTTTTAATAGTAAATTAAATGTATGTTTTTTTGTTATATTGGTTGTGTGTATAATTATTAAAACAATAGTACTTTTTGTTTAATATACATTAATAAAATGTGAGAATAAAGTAATTTTTCTTTTATTATGCTTCTCTAAGTTAAAAAAGAATTCCTTTTTTTAATTTTTACTTAGTTGATAATTTTAAAACTACAATTTTGATATATAATTTTTGTATAAGTCTTCAATAGTTACTTATTATATATATATACTTATATATATATACATAAATTCGCTAACGAATTTTAAATAAATACTATATGAAGAAAAAAAGCTAGAAATATACAAATTGTGTAGAAGTATTTAATATAGGTATAATACAAAATCCTACATAATAGCGGATTCTTCAAACAGAGCTTATAAAAAATTTGAGCGTCGAGTCGTCTAGACCAAGATTTGTATGCAAAACCTTTCTCTTTCAGAACAAACGCTCTACCACCTGAACTACGCGAATACCTATTATACATAAATATATATTCACAAATATATTCGCCAACGAATTTTAAATTATACTATTTGAAGAAAAAGAACTAAACATATACAGATTTTGTTAAGTAATTAATATCTACTTATTAGATACTTTTATATATATATGAATAAAAGTGTTTGGAAGAAAAGTCTGTTATATATTGGAAATTTCTCAAGAGAGCAAAAAAAGAGTAACAAGTGAAATTATTATTTATGCAATATAGGTCCTTCTTCCATCACACAAAAATTGAAAACTATGCAAGCCTATTGGCTTCTTCCAAACCATTCATATATACTGGGTCATCAAGTATGAAATTTCTGGATATAACTCACTACAAATTTCATACTTGCCAACACAATATTAGAAATTTGCTAATAAATTTTACATTTTTACTATTCAAAGAGAATATAAAGAATACATCACATTATTCGTTCAAAATTTACAACTCCAATAATTATGTAATTATATTCTGGCCAAATGTATGTAGGAAATTATGCTTTCATTTAATCTCATGATTGATAATTTCTTACAGTACAAATTTTTGAATCTATTATAATTTTACATAATATACATTTTACAGATCCATCCAAAACGTCTTATACAAAACATTGATAACAATATTCGTGTTTTCTAGGTTGTTTGGGGCATTGGAACATCGTCATCTAATGAATCATCTTTACTGAATTCATGTAATAAAACATATTCTCGAGAACTAAAACCAAAACGCAGTACATCTCTTTCCAACAATTCGTGGAATCTTCTTGGTTCCAATTTTACATTATTAACAAAAGTTCCATTTGCGGAATCTAAATCAATTAAGTATGGACGTATCCTTTTTCCTTCACTTCCACCTTCTTTTTGAAATGAAACTAGACGATATTGTAAAGCTGCATGCTGTTTAGAACATGATGGATGATCTATTGGTATATCTGCAACTTTTCTATCTCTACCCATCAAATATGCAGATTGTCTATGAACATAAAGAGTGGGCAAAGCCTTTTCCCCTTTGAAAGGATATAATCTCCATCTTCGTTTTGGTTTCCTTGCATCTGATGGCTCTGCATACTTAATTACAACATTATTAACTATATTTGTATCTTCTAACAATTTCCCAGATAGTTCAAAACTAGGTTTCTCTTTATCTTGAGGCACCGGCTTTGATTTATCCTTTGAATATTGTTTACCCCATTGCAGTTCTTGTTCTTTATTTCTATTCAAATCGTCTGCTTGAAATTTATTTGGTCTATCATGCTTTTCTTGTCTTCTATCAGACTCACATGTATTTTTCATTGCTACTGTTTTATCCTCGTTCTCATTTAGTTTTGATCGAACATCTTCCCTTCTTACTTGTGATCTTTCGTATCTTCTTTTATTATTCTGCCTATCCTCTTGCCTCCTAGAATAATCACGGAAACTGGATCTGGAATCCTCTAGCCGCTCTCGTTTATCCCAATCCCGATCCATGTCTCTGTCTCTCTCTCGATGTGTCCTTTCATTGCCATCTTTTCTTGAATCTCTATTATTCTTATGTACATCTCTTCCACTTCTAGAATCTTTGTGGATTTTTGTTTTGCTCGACGTTTCTTTCCTACTATTTCGTCTATCCTGAACGAGACTATACTCTCGTTTCCTTTTAGAACTTCTGTGTGATCTACCATCACGACTTTCATCGCTGCTACCATTAGAACTGCTGTTCGACGGCATTTCTTTATTAAAAAAAAAAAAAAAAAAAAAAAAAAAAAAAAATCAGCTGTAATTTGGTAAAATAGTAAGGT